CACCGTGCATCGCCGCAGAGATAAACGCCGGTGCATTAAAATAAAGGAACATAATCGGTCTGGCCTTGGTAATGATGTAATTTTCGCTACGGCTTATCTCTTTCTCTCATTCCAACAAAACAATTGCCTCCACTCACTCTCTCTCTCTCTCAACTCTTCACTTCTCTCTTTCTATTTCACTTATGGGCGTGCATGTGTTGATTTTCGAAGCGAATAATAAAAAGCAATACAGAGTGTTATAATTGTAATATATATATATATATATATATATCCTGATTGTGGTGGATGGCTGCGAATTGGTGACTGGGTTGGAAAAAAGAAATACGCTCTTCTCTCCCTTTTTTCCTTCATCATCATCATCGTCGTCATCATTCGTACCGTGTGTTTGCGCTGCAGCAAACCGAGCGAAACGAAAGAATGGTGGCGAATGAGTGAAGGGAATGGGAAGAGGATGAAGACAAAGGGCGGCGAGGGAGGGATGGGAGGAAGCGAGAAGGATGTTGAAGGATGATAAAGCAGAAACGAAGGAGAGATGAGGATAGGCCGTAGTATTATATTCGAGAACTGGTTTCAATGGATAATGGGGACCTCACTACAATTTAATTACGACGCTAAGTGTAGTCCAGAAAGAAAGCAAAAGAAGAAGTAGAGAGAGAGAGAGAGAGAGATATAGTGAGATAGTGAGGATGAGGAGAAGAGAGGAAAGCGGTGCAAAAATAAATAAAACAATTATAATCCTGCAGGCGTGGAATAATTTATGGCATTAACAACAACATGCACGGCCGAGGAGGCATCGATTCGTGTTTTTTCTTTTTCTCTCTTCTCTTGTTTCTTGTTCGTTTCGCTTTTGTTTCGTTTCGTTCTGACGTTTAATAATTATGCGATCCATTTGGGTTGCACAGAAAATTATGTCATAGAAAGGATCGTAATCGACGCGCAATTGGTTCGCTTCGAAGGTCACAGTTTTCTTTGCAACTAATTCAATATTATCCATTTATTTTTAAGAATTCCGAGTGGAAACACATTGTAAATAATTTCGTAAGAGTTATTGAAATCAAATTGAAACAAATTAACTTCTTGTAAATAAAACAAGATCACCTATGGTTGAGGTTAAATTTTTGAATTAGTTGTCCATTGACAGCTGTCACTTGTCGTCGATACGTTAGTTTTATGTTATTGGATCGTCCGACAAAAAGAAGGTTTGAGAAACTCTGCTTTTAATGTTCTGACACTTTCTGACTTTTAATTTTATGTGATCCATTTTTGTTGTGTGTGCTGTTGCGAAAATTATGTCATAGAAAGAATCGACGCGCAATTGTTCCAATCGGTTCTCCCGTCGAAGGTTATAATTTTCTTTGCATGTTAAACGTTGCCTCATTTTCAATATGATCTATTTACTTATAATAATGCTGATCGATTCAAGTTGAGGCATTATTTCAAATTGAAAAAGAAAAAAAAAACACATTTTCATTCAACATTTGACAACGCAACATGACAGCTGTCAATACGTCAAAAAAACTAATAGGTTATAAACAATTGGGACGCAGAACAACTGCAAAAAAAAAGCGGTAAATTGGTTGAGAAACGGTTTTGAAGTTTACGTGATCGCAATTGACATGTTAAATCTAGAAGAGTTAAGTAATTATTTCAAGTTGAAAGAAATTCATGTTCCGAACATATGTATGTAGGGAATATCACAATGTGTAGTAGCAGATATGAAAATGAGCTTCAATTCAGATACAATTGCTTAACTTTCAGCAATGAATGTAATTAATTCTTATCAATACGTCGAAAAACAAACAAATTATCGAATAAAACAATTGATAATCTGTCATTGTTGACATTTGACATTTGTCACTTGTCAAATTAATTAATGTAATTGTAAGTAAGACAAAAAATTTGTTTTATTATCAACTTTGTATTTAGAAATTGAAATGAAGTTGAAAATGAAGGAACGAAAAATATGTATTTATAAATACGACGACGAGAAATTGATCTCTTAAAATACTGCTATCCGCGTAGAGTTTATACACTTCAGAAATGATGTATTCTCGGGGATTTTCCGTCAATACAAGTGCCAACGATTTATTTTCGTATACGTTTCTTACAGGAAACCGGTGCTGAAAAAAAAAGAAAGAAAGAAAAGAGAGAAACTCTTCTCTACTCGAAGATAAAACCGAGCTGTCTCTCGTTACCTCGCAGCCAACTAAATTATTAATGTATACACACATTCACTGTAGTGGATGGAGACTTTATAAACAGATCACCACTAAATAACATCTTTTAAATCAAATTGTTTATTATGTAATTGCATATCAAAAATTGGTGTGTGCACGTATGGAATTTGCATGGGGCAGCAAGAAGCAGATACGTTTCTTTTTCTTGGCTGATGCAATCCCATCGCATTGACGCAAGCAAGTCGGCTGTTATCACGCCGAAAGTGCAATTATCTCTCGCGCTGAACGAAAATAATAATAATGATGCTGCTGCGGCGTCGAGTCCGAAGCTTTTTCAGCGATTTTCAGTCGAGAGTAAACAACGATTTACACTCGAAATCACGCCATCGCGTTTGCTTGGATTACGGATGGAAAACATTTGAAATTGTTTTTAGTACTCTGACATTACAAATTTAATCTGTGAAATTTGACATTTTCACTTGTCAAATCAATAATTGAAGTTGTTCTTCGTGTAACTTTAAAAGTATTTCAATACCAACTTAGTATTAGGAAATAACTAAATATCATGCAATTCTAAAAGACACAAAGGGTTTTAATACCAACCCTTAGTATTAGAAAATAACTAAATATTAAATAATACACATTTAATTTGTTAATTTGTAATTGAATTAATATTTGTAAAGTCAAAGTACGAAAGGATTCTAATACCAACTTAGTATTAGGAAATAACTTAATATAAAATACACATTTAATTTGTTAATTTATAATTGAATTAATATTTGTAAAGTCAAAGTACGAAAGGTTTCTAATACCAACTCAGTATTAGGAAATAGCTAAATATCATGTAATTATAAAAGACACAAATGGTTTTAATACCAACTTAGTATTAGGAAATAACTAAATATCATGTAATTCTAAAAGACACAAATGGTTTTAATACCAACTTAGTATTAGGAAATAACTAAATATTAGATACACATTGAATTAGTTAACTTGTAATTGAATTAATATCTGTAAAGTCAATGTACCAAATTCATGTAATTCTAAAAGACACAAAGGGTTTTAATACCAACTTAGTATTAGGAAATAACTAGATATTAAATAATACACATTTAACCTGTTGAATGAATATATTTTTTCTTTAATTTTCAGTGATTGGACTGTAGCAACTTCGTGTTACGAAATCTATCCAGAAGATGGGAAAGACAGAGATGGTGTATTGATTCTTGTGTGCGTTCGCTCGTCGTCGTCGTCCTCGTCGCTGGTTGGTGTATAAATAGAGGTGTGTATGTATAGACTTCTTCTTTTTTTGTGTGTGTGTTAATGTTGTTGGTTTCTTGGCTTTCGGTTTTGATGATGTAAGAAAGGAGGAGGAAATGCTGTTTTCGCAAAAATTAATAAATTAGATTTCGGACGTTTCATAAAATTAAAACGTCGGCGCTGCTACCTTTTTTTTTTTGTTTTCTGCAGATGCGAAACCTATAAATAGGTTGCGGGGTGGTGCAGAACTAGTAATAGTAGTGAAGATGTACGTTAAAAAAACGGTGATTTACTGGATACAAATGTTGGTTCTTTGGTCAGTTTTACGGTCGAGAGGATGCTTTCCTCTTTCGCTGAGTTTTATGGGAAAAGAGCAGCAAACAGCGACACACAACAACTTGATGAAAATAAGAAATAAACTGAAGAAGTGAGCGCGGGGAGGAGGTGCAGGAGGAACGTCAGAAAGACGTGAAGAAAGGAAGAAAAGGTCTCGGGCTCAGCTGATCGTCTTTCCAGGTGAATCGGAGAAGACGGAGACGGAGATGGATGCGACCTGTTCGCTCGTGCTGAAGCGAGACGAGGCGAGTCTTCTAATATAATATACAACAAGAAAGCTCTTTAGGTGCTTCTGGTGTTACATCCTACAACAACCTGTTTTCTTGAGGTCTCCAAGTTCTCTCCTCTCTCTCTCTCTCTATTGCACCCGTGTCCGAACCGGTTCTGCCTTCCTCCTCCAACCTACTTCTTCTCTTCCTCCTCGGTCGACCTTCCCTCTTCCTCTCGCCCATTGTGTGTGTATGCAGCGAAACGTGTGTCTCGCAATCGCCTCGAAAGATACTGTTGTTTGTTGAGATCACGTCTCGTACCTGTTCACGTCCTCCGCACTCTTCGAACCAACACACAGAATATATATATACACACACAAACACACAGGAGAGAACCAGTGGAAAATTACCAAACAGTCTCATGCGGAGCGAACGATCTTATAAATACACACACAGATGAAGAGAGGAACATAAAATATATATACACATAGAGAGAAAAATTATTACTTAGGGCCTCGCTGTCCCATAAATCTTTGCCGCACTGTCAAATCTCGCCCACGAGAAGGAATAATCGGGAGATAATACCACACCAAACCATCATCATCACCATCATCTTCGTCCATCCATGATCTATTGATTGCATCTAATTGGGTCAAATCGGCAACAAATCAAAACGTTTGCTACTTTCCAGAAAACCTTAAACCATTTCTTAACAATTCTATTAATTAATATTCAATCAAACCTTGAACCATTTTTTTTTCAATTCACGTTTTCTTCCAGCATAAACAACAACTCACGAAAAGTTAAACTTTTTCTTCCTACGTTTTCTTTTCTTTTCTTCAAACGATTGCATATGATAATCAATGCACGTATCGAATTGTAAATAGGAAACCTTGAACTGATTTCTTGCCGAATTACCTATGAAAAGAAAAAGAAAGAAATAAAGAAAACTCTCGACCGCGCTAATTATATAATTTCATAGTCATAATTCATGTGTGTGTTTGTGACATGGAGGAAAGGGAAGAGAGAAGTTACACGAAAATACATTTTGTTGACACTCACTCACTCTCTCTCGAGAGAGAAAGAGTAAAGAGGCGATGGAAAATCCCCGAACGCCGCTGAGATGTTCCAGTTTATAAATATTTGATCGAAAAGCACTTCAAAGCATAAACCGCACTACTGCAATGAAATACAGGAATTAGATTTTGCAGAGAAGTAGTTCGAAATATTCAAATTAAAGCAGAAATATATCTAATGAAACTATAATTTTGAATCTAGAAACGAGTGTTGTTCTTTTTGCAAATTTGCAACTGTCCAGTGCAATATTTTTATGGAAAATGTAATTATGAAAATGGAAATTGAAGCGATAGAGAAATTGTATTTTCCAATTGGATTTATAATAAAGATGAAACAAAATTTTCATTAACATTAAATTTTGTCAATACTTTAATTAGCGCCGATCAAAGAGTTTATGATTCAAATTGCAATATAACTTTAACATTATAATATTGTGTCATTACTAGAAAAGTTACATAATTTTTTTCTATGTAGTTTAAATATGCTTTATATTGCATAAAGTTGGCTGTTTTTGAGAAATTCAAATAAATTCTATGAAATGTGACACTTGTTTGTTTCTGAAACGTCAATTTTGACAGCAATGTCATCGTTGACATTTTACATCAATTTCTAATGCTGCACACGCATTTCAATACGCTCTTAATCATAATATCAACAATAAAACAACAATTTACGAGAATTCATAATGATTGTTCCAGAAAATTTACATAAATCTGAAAACTTTCTTTCTGAAACGTCAAATTTGATATCAATAATTGACATGTCAACAAAGATACAAAAATTAGATTTTTCAGAGAAGAAACTATAATTTTGAATCTAGAAATGAGTGTTGCTTTTTTTTGCAAATTTGCAACTTTTTAGTTGTTATTGTTATAATATTGTGTCAATACTAGAAAAGCTACAGAATTTGTTTCTATGTAGTTTAAATATGACAAATGACACTTGTTTATTTATGAAACGTCAATTTTGACAGCAATGTCATCAGTGGCTACGAGAATTATTAGTGATTATTGTTTCAGAGAAATTTACATAAATGTGAAAACTTTCTTTCTGAAACGTCAAATTTGACATCAATAATTGACATGTCAACGAAGATACAAAAATTAGGTTTTCCAGAGATGTAGTTTCAATTGATATTGAGTTAACGTTAACGTAAGCGTGTAGAAAATGTTAGATTTCAGTTGAATTTGTCGAAAGCGAAAAACGTGTCGACTGGAGTAGTTTTTCTGTTACTGTTAATGGAAATCTGAAACGCGATCGAGTCGAAAGAAATGGAGAACGCGGGTAAATTCAATTAAATCGCAATAATTAAAGTTACAATAAATCGAGAGAGAGAGAGAAAGAAAGAGAGACTTTCACGTCACCATCGCAACCGCCGCCGCCGCCACCGCCTTCTCTACGCACGCTAACTTTCTTATTCAAATGCATTTTATCCCATTTCTTGGTTTGCTGATTTTTTTTTCCTTCTCTTTTTCTTCTTCGTCTGTTGTCCAAGTTGACTTTGTGTTGTTCGGACGTTTGGAAGATGAAGGTCAGAAGATGATGGCCTGTCTAGGTGGTAAATGATGATTGCACACGTGTGCTTCTACTTGATGGCCGGGATCCGGAATTAATTACATCAGCATATTTTACGGGGATGCCCGGTAATAATGGTTTGATGAGGAGTGGAGTGGAGAGGGGAGAGGGGAGGACGAAGAGTGGTTTGGAGATGGAATAAAAAGGGTCCGTTTTATGGTCCACGCAAGGAAACCAGTTTTCTGGCACAAACACACACACAATGGTTACAAAATTAATCCTCTTCAACACACGCACACAGATTCAAAGAGATGAAACATGCACGTGTGTGGATGGAGAGAGAGAGAGAGAGAGAGATGAGAGTGTGCGAGACAGAAGGAGAAAGAGTGTTGTAGGGAGGGTGTGGAAGAGATGATGATGTTGAATAAGATAGAGTGGGCAAAGGCGAATCCCTTAATTATAATTTTTCGAAGTTTAAATCAATCCGTGGAAGCTGCTTGCTTTCAGGGCTGTTTCATGAAAATTACATATGTATGAAGGAGATGAAAAAGAAAGAGGTGAACGAGAACGAGATGAAGTAGAAGAAGAAGGTGGAACAACGAGCCGAAGAAACCCGTTCCGGCTACCGGTTTTTTCCACGGCCTATTCGTTTTTTTTATTTGTTTGTAATTTATTAAAACGTTTTGAAGTCCCCCTTCCCCCTCCCCCTTCGATAGAAAAGAAAGTCTACACCGAAAACACACAAATTGTAAACATTATCCAACACTTATTAGTCCAACACTTGAAGCAGTTTTCTCCTTCTCGTCTCAAATGCTCGTAAATCGAGACACCAAAATAGATGCATCAAACGAATAATAACTCTTGTTTCTTCTTTTGGCCCCTTCGAGAATATTAACATTCGCATGGAAAGTGGCAAAAGAACAAGACTGAAAATAACGACGGAATAGAAGAAACGAATAATTTACATATTCGTCGTGCGTAATGGATGCGTTCGTTGTTCGATCCGCGAACGTTGCTTGCATCGCTAATACCTACACCTATCGGCGCTCTTCTTTCTTTTTTTGTTCACTACTCGTGATACCGAAAAATTAATATTCAACATTTATACGGAGGTGTGTGTGTGTGTTGTTTGTCCTCGTCCATCAATTCCGACAACGTATTCCATCCAACGCTCCGCCAAGAACCAACATAACTAAAAACAACACACCATTTCCGAACAGTCGTAAACATCTAACGAAAAGAAATTACAACATTATTAACAGCAAAGTGCTTCTATACAGTTTTTGACAGACAATTAACGTCAATTTTGACAGCAATTGTCATCATGACGTTTTTTATTTTCTACGAAATGCCACATAGAAAACCCTGCTTTTTATTTTCAAAACGTCAATTTTGACAGCAATTTTTATCATGACGCTTTTTATTTTCTACGAAATGCACACAGAGATTAGCGACTGTCAAAGAGATTATGATTCAATTGCAAATTTCAATAAATGAAATTTTCATAACATCAATTTGTTTTAATACCAGAAAAGCTCCAATTATACTTACTACTATTTGTTGGCTGTAACAAAGAAAACCCTGCTTTTTGTTTTCAAAACGTCAATTTTGACAGCAAGTGTCATCATGACATTTTACATCCATTTCTAAAGTTGAACATGTGTTTAATCATAATCTCAGCAATAAAAGACCAATTTACAAGAATTATCATTAAAAATATGAAATGTAACTCATCAAATTTGATTGAGATTATCGTCTGTCAAAGAGATTATGATTCAATTGCGAATTTCAATAAACTAAATTTTCATAACTTCAACATCAAATTGTTTCAATACCAGAAAAACTCCAATTATGGACTTACTACAATTTGTTTCTATAGATATAG